GTTCAACGCAGATTCGGAATAAGAACCTTCTTGCTTTCAAACCTCTCTTATTTTCGTTTTTATTCTAAGTGTTTTAGTCATCTTAATCTTTGTTGTGCGGTTCTCGCAGATAGCCGGTTCCTCTGGAAACTTAGGATTTTCCCGAAGTTTCCTTATTTACGATTTATTTGACAGTAGGGTGAAATCGACTCCCACAGTAGGCATCGACGATAAGGCCCAAACTTGCTTTGTGGGTGAATACAGAAAAATGGCATGTGTAATTGATTCTTCAGGTTCTCCACAGCGTGGGCAGTAATTGTCACACCTTATATGTCTATAGTTTAAGATACTCGTAACAGTCACATAAGATGACACATCTTTTGGGGAGTCCGCACCTTCCAAGGTTGTGCTTGTAGTTTAGTGATACTAGTTCACTAACTATATGTACCTCTTCCTGCTTTAAAATATTCCGTGCAACCCAATATCTAGATTTGACTGTATATTGTTCATTCCTTTTATAGCTCCAACAAAATGTGTCTCAACGATGTGTAGAACTAATTGACATACTTTTTATGAGAGGTATATCAACAACATTTATGTAGTTTTCTAATCTCTTCGCATCTCAAGTCTTGGTCTCTTGATTAATAAGATTGCTACACACGCCACATTATTTATTGTTTAATCTGTTCTTTTATTGCTTATACAATAAATAAATGATACCAGTTCGTAGTGGTTTAATGTTCGAGTAATTAATTGTGTGGCTGGAAAAGTATAATTGGAGTGCTTCAAGTTGACGATTAACATCATAAACACTCCAAAAATTGGCCGCGAAATTTCGTATGAATTTTGATACAAGATCTCCTATTAATTCTATGACCAGAACTTATCATTTCTCTTTTCTCAATTTCTTTTATTTTTGTATATTTATTTTAGTCGTTAGATATTCTCTAAAAAATTTAAGTACGTATATATTTTACTTAAAAGAAGTGGTATGGTATCTATTTTCTTTAAAAGAAAGTGGTATGGTATATATTTTCTTTAAAAGAAAGTAGTATGGATTATAATACGAGAGTCATACTCCCTCTGTTTCATAATAAATGTCATTTTAATCTCTTGCATATTGATTAAGAAAATAATTAATTTTATATATTTTCTATATAAAAGTACAATTATTCATACATCTAATCACAGTTTAACCAATAGAAAAATAAATAATAGAATAAAATTAATAAGTTTCACACTGAAAACCAAAGACGATACTTATTTTGTAACGGAAATTTTTTTCTAAAACGACACTTAATACGAAACGGATAGAATATTAATTAAAATATATTCTTAGCATTGAAAACAACATGTTCAATAGTTATTTGCTCCTTGAGAAAACAACAATTTATTTTCGATGGCCATAGGAGAAAGAACAATCTTGTTTGATAGCGTGGTTGTGAAATTTGAGAAAAGATTGTGCACATGCATAGCCCCATAAGAAAAATAAAGTTAGATGGATTTTTAATTTAAAATCAACGGTGATCGATTGATTCATCTATTTTATATATTATTTATAATCTTTTTTAATTTTTCAATTTGGGACATTGGTTTCTAATATGTCTTTTCGAAATAATGGATTTTTAGTATCAATTTCGAAATGTTTAGATAAACTTTGAATTGAATCGATAGTAGATAGAGTTGGATTATTTGGATCCGACTCTGATACCATATAAAACTAGATATATTTTCAACTTAAAACTGATAAAGACAAGTAAATTGATGTATCTATCTTATATATTATTAATGATCTCTTTCAACTTCTGATCTGAAACATTTGTTACTAATAATTACTTGGCCACAATTATTAATTGCCCAAATTAACAAGTAACCCAATGGTGAAAACAAGAACTTGAATAACATAGTTTTTTTCTTTGCTAAAAGAACTTGAATAAGGCTTCAATGATACATCGTTTCGTTCTTAAAACGTTATACAATAAAAATGCTTACATTTTTTACTATTTTGTACCACCACATCCATTAGTATAGTAATATCTGAAAATTTAACTTCCATCCCCACGTAGTAAATATTATTTATTTTAAAAATTTGGATTTTTTATCTAGCAAATTTTAAAAATTACATTTATGCAACATTTATTTAGAAAAATTGAACTTCAAACTATTTTAAATTTTGAATCTTTAGAAATAATGAATAAAATTTGTAGATTTATTTAATATAAAATGATTTTTGACCAACATACAAAATAATAAAATAGCTTCATATAAAATATGATTCTAAAACATTTCGTAATCCAGATCCAAATTATATAATTAACTTGATTTACTGAAAAGATTAATTTATTAGATTCTCAAATAACATATTGACAATAAAATGATATAAAGAAATATGTATTGAAAATATAAAAGGTAACAAGTAGAATTGATAATAAAAACATGGAGGAAAAGAAAATATGAGATGTGGCTAAAAGTTTAAAAAAATGATACTAGAAAGAAAATTGTGACACAAGACCCTTAAACGTGGGGAATCAGACTATAATCCCTAAGGGTTATTGATGTCGCGAGTTACCAACAAACCTAAAAACATATACATTAATAAACTTGTTGGAGAGTTCACACACTTTTCAAAACAAATTATTAAAATAATGTAACAGTAATGAACTCGAGCCGTAGAATATCTCTGGCGTGAACCGGAGTCACTACTATTTCGTGGGCTCCACGCCACGTGGCGGTCCACGAATAGTTTGCCTTTTAAAAAAAAATCAACAGGAAAAAAATAAAAAAGTAATAATAAAAAAATACTTTTATGAACTCTAGTCCAAATTCATTAATGCACATGTTCTAATGGATTAATCTATTTCCTCAGTATATTTATATAATCTGCATGGGGCACATGCCCCACCTTTTAACAATGTGAGTCCGTTCTTCTTATAATCTCTTATAATTTCAATGTGGGACATTTATCTCTAACATGCTTCCTCAAAATAATGTTTTTTAGTGTCAATCTCAGAATATTTGGATAAAGATCAATAGACTGATTTTGGATTAGATAAATAATAAATTGGGTTGAATTATTTAGATTGGACTCTAATACTATGTTAAACTAGATGTGTTTTCAACCTAAAATTAATTAACGATAATTAAATTGATTCATCTATCTTATATATTATTAACAATGCCTTCTAACTTCCCCAATGGAGGACATTTGTTCCTAATAATTACTTGACCACAATTATTAATTTCCAATGGTGAGAACAAGAACTTGAATAACATAGTTTTTTTCTTTGCTAAAAGAACTTGAGTAACATAGTTGAACTTGAATAACATAGTTTTTTTCTTTGCTAAAAGAACTTGAGTAACATAGTTGAGCTTGAATAACATATTCTCTTCGTTTCGAAATAATTGTTATTCTAGACAAAAAGTTTCGTTTCAAAATAAGTGTCGTTTTTGAGTTTTGAGACAAAATTTAGTAGTTTTATATGATATTCTATTTTTCTATTGGTTGAAAAGTGGTTAGGTGTATAGGTAATTGTATTTTTATCTTGAAAATATGTAAAATTAAATATTTTCTTAATCTGTGTGTAAAAACCTAGAATGACAATTAAAATGAAACGGAAAGAGTAGTTTTTTTCTTTGCTAAAAGAACTTGAATAAGGTTATCAATGATAACATCCTTTCGTTCTTAAAATGTCATACAATAAAAATGCGTACATTTGTTACTATTTTGTACCACGACACCCATTATAGTATAATAATATCTGAAAATTAAACTTCCATCCCCACGTAATAAATATTATTTATTTTTCGTTGTCAAAAAAAAAATTATTTATTTTAAAAAGCTGGATTTTTTATCTATCAAATTTCATATCATCCTTTGCATACACCCACCGCTTCTTATCATGTACTCGGTGCGGCTGCTGTTTGGCCAGCTTGCTCGGCTTCTGGCTTTGCAGCCAGTTTAGCTGCAGCACCTCCACCAGAAAACACCCTTTTCAAGACTTTTGACAGTAATTTTGGCGGCTCCTTGCCCGTTGCTCGCCTACACAGAATTGAATACGTCTGGTTATCAAGAGCCATATTGGTATCAATTCTTAATAGTTACGGTTCAAAACATGTTCACAACCAACCAACTTAATAATATGTACATGATAACCAATTTCATTTTCTTTGGTAAAAAAAAGAAGAAATTAAACGAATTATATTCTTAATATTCCCAATGGTAAATGTGCTAGAGTAACAAATGGATGAAATGTAATTTGCTTTTTTTATATATATATTTTTAGAAAAGGCGGGATACAATAAATGTATAAAACATAAAAAAAATATGTTTGTGAAATAATATTTTTCAAAACTTTTATTTTTGTAATATAAAAATATATTTTTTTTTGTTTGTGTTAAATACTTGTAAAGCCACAAGATGACGGTGACAGCCATAGCACCAGAGCCACCGGCGGCTGCTAAACCCGTCGCCATTAAACCACTGGCTATACCCGCTGGTACAAGAATAGGACTGAATACTACGAATAGTGGCATGGTAGCAATAAATGCGACGGCTGTGCCAGCGAGGGATACACCGGCGAGCAACAAGAGGAATATTGCGGCCTGTGTAGCTAATATTGACGTTAAAATATTCTTAAACGTCGGCCTTCGCTCTTTATCGCGTCTTTTCCTCCTGATTATACCCATTTTTCAAGTTCGATTGGCTAGAAAGAGAGGGATATGATTATTTGGTCCGATCGTTGTGGGAATTTATGAAGAAGATACAAGGATTCATATATATAGAAAGTGGTGTGGTCTACGTGCACGTTACATGCTTATAGATATCCCCATGCGAAACGATGCGAGTGAACGTTGAGCTCTACAAGCTTTACACGTTACGTTCAGTGCCTTTTCTTTCGTTTGTTCGTCTTGTTAGGTCGTCACATTTTTTCTGCTTTCTTTTTTTTTTGGTAAAATTTTTTCTGCTTTCTTGTAAAATAAGAGTGGATATTTTGTGTTTATTCAGGTAAACGGTTTAACCGTTCAAGTTTGATTTAATTTTATTCAAAGTATACCTGAATATTAACCGAACGTAGTGTTCTGTATGGTCTGATTAGAAATTGGTTTGATTTTGACCTTCGTTAGAGTTTCATTTAGGTTTTTTTAATTAAATTTTTTAATTTGGTTGTATCATGTGTGGTTAGTTAAAAAATAAAAGTTATGATTGGTTCGGTAATGTTTTGGTTTGGTTTTGTCAGAGTTTGATTCGTGTCATGTGCTGAATTCGATATGATAAAACAATGGATGTTATGGCTAGTTAGCTAGATATTAAGACTGTATAGTAAATATTTTTGATCGATATGACGTGTTGCATAGATTGATAGTCTTTGTTCAACAGTTCCAGTGGATGTTATGGCTAGTCAGCTAGCTAGATTTATTAAGTCTGACTAGTAAACTCACTATGTCTTTGTTTTATTTTCTTCCGAAAACCACATAAAGGATTATAAACCTAGACGCGATAACCATATTCAATTATAAAGATACAAGTGATTAACAAACAACGACAGGATGACTCTAAGACAGGATTACCGCGCCATCATATATGCATTGTAAACCTAGACTCGATAACCATATTCATATATAATCCATTATTGGTTGTTGTTGGCATGTTAATCACTTGTATCTTCATATTCATAAGTCTACCAATGACAACCAAAGAAACCCATATATATCAACGACAACCAATAATGGATTATGGCGCCATTATATATAAAGTATCAAAATGCGCAAATAGAACATCCAGTTTAATCATATCATACGTTCATATATTGTTTATTTAAAGAAAAAGAAGGTAGATTAGGTTTAGTTTGTGCCCTCTGGATTAATTTAAAAAAATCTAATCAAGTTGCTTTTTTTTTTGGTCAACTATAGAAATCAAGTTGCTTCAAATCGTTTTCCACCAGGAGAGGCCTACCACCAGGAAACAACTTGATTGAGCTATCTTTCTTCTTATGTCCATAATTAAGCCTTTATAATATAGAATCTAGTACTGTATTTTTCTTCTAAAAACATTCTTCCAAATGTTAGATTCAGTTATCTTTAAGAAAGCAATACGGTTTCAAATCCTTTAAAGGTTACATGTTATCCTTATGATGTTAATCGATCAAACTGTAGAAATCACAGCAAAAAATTCAAAATCAACATGATCAAATGTCTAGGTAAACCACAAAAGAAGTAAATGCTAGTTGCAATCAAAGCATTTTGAAATAGATTGGTTTATTTATCTTTTTTTCGATCATGTATCTATTGTTATCATTATTTACAAACAATGACAGGATGACTCTAAAAGACAAAATATATGACATCATAGAGAAATTCCGTCATCTTGCATACTAACAATAATTCTGAATTTCTAATAGAAAATAGGAAACAAGAAGCCAAGAAAATCAATAATAATGTAGTGCCGTTGAGAATCAAATGTTTTTTAGTAGACACCATCAGAGAGGTAAAATACAAGTTGAACCATAAATGAGAAGATTCATCCTTAGAACCATTGTGTAAACAAATGGTATAAGTTTGATTACAGTTTTTCATGTGAAGTGTCAGGTCCTGCAATAACTTTGATGAAGGTCCTTACAAAAAGTTCGACGTTGTCTTCATTAATTGATAAAGAGTTAGGACCCATCTATGAAACCGCTAAGAAAGCGACAAAACCATAAGAGTTTGTGTCCCTACCCATTCATGGTTGCTAAAACTTTGTGATAACCTTCTTGTCTCCTCTTCTTTACCTTTTATATATAAGAAGAGATCAAAGCTTTTTCTAACACATCACTTGCAGACTCTTTCCTCTTTCTTTCTCTCATCTGTGTCTTGTCCTGGCAAAATATGGCTACTTTTGAGGAAAGCTCAGATTTGGATGCTATACATAAACACCTCTTTGAAGACTTTATGGTTTCTGATAGTTTCATGAGAGACTTTGACTTTGATGCTTCTTCTGTCTCAGGACTATGGTGTATAGAGCCTGTGATGAGCCAAGTTCCTAAACAAGAACCTGATTCACCGGTTCTTGATCCTGATTCATTCCTCCAAGAGTTTCTACATGTGGAAGCCGACTCATCTACATCAACAACAGGGATTCCAGAGCTGGACTCATCATCACATGAGAGTGTCTCCATCAGGAAAAAAGCAAAGAGGTTTGAAGAGGAAGAAGAACAGAGGCATTACAGAGGAGTGAGAAGAAGGCCATGGGGGAAATTTGCAGCAGAGATTCGAGATCCAGCTAAGAAAGGGTCTCGTATCTGGCTAGGAACCTTTGAGAGTGATGTTGATGCTGCAAGAGCCTATGACTGTGCAGCTTTCAAGCTCAGGGGAAGAAAAGCTGTGCTCAACTTTCCTCTTGACGCTGGCAAATATGAAGCTCCGGCTACTTCAGGACGGAAAAGGAAAAGAAGTTATGTGCAGGAGGAGCTCCAAAGAAGTCAGAGCAACTCTTCATCATCTTCAAATGTGAATGGTGCATTTAACGTTTAAGGGTGTGAGCATGCAGGTTCATTGTATAAGTAAAATTGTACAGGGAAGTTGAACTTGTATCTATGTTCTGTTTCTTCATGTTCAAAAAGACCATACTATTTTAGAAACAAGTTCTTGTTTCCAAAAGCATATCTCTAACACACAATTAGGGTCTAAATTTTCTAACATAGAAACTTCAGTGGAATAGCTTCAACAAGTGAGTGTACCTAATTTTTAATGCAAGAGGAGAAGGGGGAGTGAATCAAGATGAACAAGTTGGATGAGGGACCAGTTTTAAGAATGTAGCAGCAAGTGTTTTGGCTCATAGCTTAGGTAGACATCAATACTCAATGATAAAGTATATGGACCACCAGCTACAGGGTCCAAACTCTTTGAAAGAGAGATGCACAACTTGCATATGGATATTAAACAGAGAAACCACGTTTATCTAAGTTAATATCAAATCCTCCTTGTTGACAATGTCGTTTGAATGTTAACAGTGAGAAACTAGGATACCATTTCAATCTCTTGTCTGGTTTCTTAAGACTTTCTCCATACTATTTTATTGGGATGAGTATTAAAATCTCATCAATCATTTTTGTTTTAATTAGCAACTAATTTTCGATCCGCGGATGTTTGTTCGTCGTAATCATATGTTTTAAATTTTTGAAAATGCAATAAATTTAATTGTTTATACATTAATGATTCATATATTATCCATGATTGATGTTGGTGTGTCGTGTTCAATATGATTAGTATTCACTTATAAACTATGAAATTGTGTTTTATTATTGTGCTTTATTTAGTTTATTTGATAAAAAAATTGTTATTAAGCTTTTTAAATGTCAGAGTTTTTTTATATGAAGCTGAAAATTGTTATTAAGCTTTTTAAATACAAATATATTATTTAGAAAAATAATAATAATAATGAAACCAATTTTAAAAACATTATAAATGAAAAGATATTTAATTGAAGTTATTAGTTTGGATTATTAGGTTATGAACTTATAATTAAAACGGACCCAAACTTAACTATTACGTTTAAACCTTATTCTCATCAGAATATATATGGATTGGCCTATAATTGTTTCTAATGGACCAAGCCTATAAAATACTAAGGTTCTAACTGATGACCATTGAAATATGAATAGAAACGAGTTGAAAAGAATGAACAAGAACCAAATAAAAAGAATGAAAAGGAATATTTATTACTTTTGTTTCATATCAATTTTGATAAGGAATGATTTTATTCTTTAGTTCTTTAAAATTTAGGGAATGACAAGGAATCATATCCAGCAAATATTCCTCATGAATATAATTTTTATATTTTGAGTAGGAATTAATTATTTCACTTCATTCTCTATGTCACCATTTAAACCCTAAATGTAAGCTTTTTTAAAAAAAAAAAAAAAGAGGGAAACTACAGTGTTTTAATTCTAATGGCATAAGAGTGTAATTTTTGAAGAAAACTAAGGACTATTTTAATTTGTACTCCTCTTTTAATAGCTTAGATTTTAATAGTTAAGATTAATCATTTTTGATAAGGATATTCTTAGTTTGGTTGATATTTTTATATGAATGATATTATCCTATTTCTTAACAGATTTTTCAAAAGCAAATCACGTTAAAGTGAAATAAATTATGAAAATTTAAATGTAACTTTAAGAAAGTTTAAAAATTCAAATTTTAATTGAAATAAAATTGAATTTATAAACTTTACAAGGAAAATAGGTGATTATCCACGCCATACACGAAACGAAATTTATATATTAATAATTGTTAAATACTAACTATGATTGTTCAACCATTATATTATATGTTCCCTAATACACAGTCATGGACCCTCAATATTAGGTTGATGAAAGGGGTCATGTTTGTTGATATTTACATTTGTCTCCAGTATAACTATAAGTTTGATGAGTAATGTTATGTTTGTTGATATTTTCTTTTTCACCTATTTAATTTACATTTGGACTTCAATGTTGTCATCCGGGTTGTTATAATTCACCTTTCACTTCGATATGAGGAATTGTACTTTTGAAATGATATGATCAAATAATATTTGAACACTGCTCTTGCACGAAATTAAAATTAATTATGTATACAAATTTTTTATACATATTATTATTTATTCTGTGTTTATTTATTAGTAAATATATCGAATAATTGATAAGCGAATAACTATTATGTATATAATTAAATTGGAGTAAAAACATAAATAAAACAATCTTTATTTTTATTTAAAATAATTTTTTCTGGTAAAAAGTATAAAAAACATTTAATTATTTTATCTTATATAATTAAAATTAAATGATATTGACATAGATATATAGTATATTTAATATCAATATTTATTAATTGAGGCTTCATACTCATATAATTTTATTAACATTTTTATATTTGTTGTAGTAAAATTATTATTCTTATTAATATAAATATTTATTAATTGAAACTTCATATTCAATGCAAATTTTAAAATTAACATGTTTATGTATTTTATTTATCTATGATCAATATTTTAAATTAAAATATTGAATAAAATTTTATATTTATATGATCTTATGATTATTTGTATTTTGTTATAACAAAAAAGTTAAACCATTAATCATAAAATTTTCATTGTGGATTGTTAACAATCTTAGTAATTTATAATCATTTCAAAAAATTCAAAATGTAGTATATAAGAAAAAAAATCTAACTTTTTATTGTATGCATAATGTGATTGTTTAATTAATTTTAAGAATATAAAAGTAAACAAAAATGATGGAGATTAAAAAAATTGTTACCAAATCTTTATTATTCAAATCATTAATTACAATATATATGTTAACTATATTTGCTAATTCTGTAATTTTTATTTAAGAAAAAAATGGAAAATATTCTTTTATAAAGTTTATCACATACATTTATGTTTGGGTTAATATAAATTTTCATAGCAATTGGATTTTGGAGTTACTAATTTTTCAATTGATTCTTATGCTCGCATGTAAGCCAAATTGACATCTTAATTAAATGACACCTAAAAAAATTATTTTTTAATTAATACAAATTTAAAGGAATTTTGTAATAAATAATTTTCAATTAATATCTAAGGGATTAAAATTTCAATCCGAACCTAAATTATCTCTTTATTCAATATGAAAACTTTCTGATAAAGTAAAGAGCAACAAACGAAACTTTATAGAAATATAGTGGCTACTTGTGATATTTATAAAACTAAATTCTCATATCCAAAATCCACACGGACACGGAAGCAAATATCGATATTGTCGCCGATCAGGGGATTTAAAGGTTCATCAATCGAATCTCCGATTTCTCGTGAGCAATTATTGCAATGGTGCTTTCGCAGAAGATTCATGGAGCATTCAAAGGTGCAGTGGAGAGGATGACCGGTCCTCGAACGGTCTCAGCTTTCAAGGAGAAGGGGGTTCTCAGCGTCAGCGAGTTCGTTCTCGCCGGTGACAATCTCGTCTCCAAGTGCCCTACCTGGTCATGGTTAGTTCCGATTTCAATACCCACTTGCTAGATTTCAAAATCATGTGTAAAGCTCTGAGCTTTATCATGTTTTAGGGGTTTAGGTGTTTAGGGATCAAAATCGTTTTTTTTTTTTTTTTAATTAGGGAAGCTGGTGATTCAAGTAAGAGGAAGCCTTATTTGCCATCAGAGAAGCAGTTTTTGATTACTAGGAATGGTAAAGTTGAGATTTTTTTTTTTTTTTTTTGGTTCAGTTTGAAGTTTTTGATTGTGCATTGTGGTGAAGTTTGTGGATTTTCTATGGATTTTTAAACAGTGCCTTGTCTACGGAGAGCTGCTTCTGTGGCAGAGGATTATGAAGCTGCTGGAGGTGAAGTTTTGGTTGATGATGAAGATAATGATGGTTGGCTTGCTACTCATGGAAGACCTAAAGGTTGTTTTTTTTTTCTAATTTATATCTGGAAATTATCGCATTTGATGTTTTTTTTCTGTATATGTTTTCTTACATGTTCAATGTGTCTTTAGACAAAGGCAGTGAAGATGAAGACTTGCCATCCATGGATGCCTTGGAAATAAACGAGAGAGATACGGCTCATCAGACGCCTAGGTGTGATGGAGGCGAGGAGGAGGAAGAAGATATTCCAGACATGGAAGATTTTGATGAGATTGATAATGATCCTGTGAGTTGATTTTATGCACATGAGCTTGCTAGATTTCAGCTCTATGAATAGACTGAACTTGAAGACTAGAGTGGCTTCGGAGCTTTATTATCAGCCAGTAGTGTTAACATGTTTTCTCTTGTTCTCTCTGATTCAGGCAACTCTCCAGTCGAATATTCTTGTGGCTCAACAGCCAGATGATGATAATATCCTTCGGACCAGAACATATGATGTTAGCATCACGTAAGCATCCTGTACCTTTCCCGTTATCAAATCCTGTCATGATCACAATTACATTCACGTGTAGATTTGTTTGAGTTCTTGTAAAGTATCTCTTACACTCTTGGCTCAGTAGATGGAACTTATATTTTATTCGCTTCACTTTATTTCAGGTATGACAAGTATTACCAAACTCCCCGCGTTTGGCTAACCGGCTATGATGAGGTCTCTGATACATTCATTATGTTTTGACAAATGTTGCATGCTTCTCTATGTTTTTATGTTAAAAAAAAACTGTGGTATGTCTTGTAGTCAAGGGTGTTACTGCAACCTGAACTTGTAATGGAGGATGTTAGTCAAGACCATGCACGTAAAACGGTAACTACTTAATCGATTTTATGATCTTATTATGTTCTAGTATCAGTAATGATTCAGTTTTTACTCTTCTTTCATTTTCTTGCTTGTTGCAACAACTTCAATTACAAAAAACTTTACAGGTAACAATAGAAGATCATCCACACTTACCTGGGAAACATGCTTCAGTTCATCCATGTCGACATGGAGCTGTTATGAAGAAGATCATTGATGTCTTAATGTCTCGTGGAGTAGAGCCTGAAGTTGACAAGTAAATTTCCTTTCACAAATTAACTTTATTTTCGTAAGTACAGTGATAGTTACCCTCTGCTTTATCTTCTCCATAGGTACCTCTTCTTGTTCTTGAAGTTTATGGCATCAGTGATTCCAACAATCGAGTATGATTACACAATGGACTTTGATCTCGGTAGCTCAAGCACTTAATTGCAGGTGAATTTTCATGAATTATATATATCATTCATAATTCCATAAATATAATATCTTGGTTAATTGTTGAAAACAAACATTAATCTTGACTTGGACTCGTTTTTTGTTTTATTTTCTAGATGGGACAACATACATTTGCTCTTGATTGTGAGAAGCAAGAAAGTTAGTGGAATGGCTCTTCACTGTGTATAATATGGATTCCTCTTTTTATTTCTTTTAAAGTTATTTCTTTTGTGACCATATATTTTTAATACTATTAATTAAATGCAGTTAAATGATAAATCGATCTCATATTTCCAAAATTGAATAGTGTAGAAATGTTATTCGGGTTTAGCTAGGTGTCTGTTGTATTCATTATTATAACTGACATGATTATAATTTAGATAGTTAAGTAGTCAACAAGTTGTCAGGATGGCCGAGTGGTCTAAGGCGCCAGACTCAAGTTCTGGTCTTCGAGAGAGGGCGTGGGTTCAAATCCCACTTCTGACATTATTTTTGGCCAATATTCTTTTATTCGACATTTTATTTAAACCGACCCAATCAGACTGAACCAAAATTTATGAACTCGATCTGAATTCGATCCACACGTAAAAACCAATCGGTTGTCGATTTTTCTTTATTGTTGTTCTGATTAGTTGAGGTTTAAAAGGAAAACCGAACCAACATACTTAGCTTTAACCGAATCGAAAATTCCGGTTTGTTTGTCGAACCATACCGAAAAGCTTGAACCAAACCGGCCCAAATTAAGTTTTGTACAGAGGCGTCGTCGTCGTCCTCACGGTTCCGCCGGTGATTGATGAGCTAAACTGATTGAGAGATTAGCATCTCCCATAGAGAAGAATGGCGAGTAATAGAGATAGCGTTAATCTCTCACGCACGTTCAAGTATTTACTAGGTTTATTCTTCTTCCTCAAAATCCTTTCTCTTGCTGCATTTTGGTCTCTAATTAGCTTCTTCTTCTTCTTCCTCGATTGAAATTTTGGAAATTTTTAGCTACGCAGTTTCTTTCCAGAGGCATCCCTTTCATATTCAATTCGTGGATCGTGAGGCGTCTCACTGAAGCTGACTATGCGGTAAATAGATCCTTCTTTTACCAATTGATTGATTGATTGAGATCCCAGTTTTTGTTTTTTTTTTGAAAGTCAAAATAGATATGTTCTTAGGTTTTGAAAATGTAGGTGATTTGACTAATTGGGTTGCCTTTATGCTTGGTAGGAAGTTGTAGTATGTGGCTTGTTGTATTTCTATGCATTTCTTATGGTAAAGATGGGTCTTGTGATTGCTTAAAGTATAGACTTTTAGCTGTGGAAGATCAGGTGTTGGTTTCTGGGCTTAGTAACAATTTTTAAGTCATGTTTTATATAAGTCTTAGCTCTGCAGCTTTGACTGTTTGGTTTGTTGTATTTGTATGCATTTCTTAGTGCAAAGATAGATGGGTGTTGTATTTTGTTTTTTAAAGTATTAGACTTTTAGCGGCAACCCACAAACTAGATGGGTGTTGTATTTGTATGCATTTCTTAGTGCAAAGATAGATGGGTGTTGTATTCTGATTGGTAAAGTATAGACTTTTAGCTGTGGAAGATCAGGTTTAGGTTTTTGTGCTTATTAGTAACAATTATCAAGTCATGTTTTTAATATAAGGGTTAGCTCTGCTTGATTTTACTGGACTTTCCTTCGACTAACTACGGGGGTTTTGCTTATAAGCTCGATTTTGTTTTCTCATTGCAATGCAGCTCTACGCGGTCCAGTTCCATCTTTTTGTTACCTGTGTCTTGTTTCTCAGCCGCGAGGGATTCCGTCGCGCTTGCTTGCGTGCTGACATTAACAGGTACGCGTAAAGCAGTTTGCCCTAATCGGGTTTAAAATACAGGACCAAGTTTTAGCCCAGTGATATTCCTTAATCTCGTAATGCAGTGATGGTCTTGTATCAGAGAAGGATGTGACTAAGTTACTGAAAGTGGCATGGGTGACGTTTCCACTCGGAGTAGCCATTACTATTGCAGCATCCATCTTTGTGCTTTGGTGGCAGAACCTTAGTTACTCCGACACATATGCACAGGCTATCTTGATCCACGGTACATTGTTGTCTTTATCTCATTTGTGGTCCTACTTCTGTAACTCACAACATTAGAATATGGAAGTTACTGTTTTGTGGTATTACTTGTATCTGTAATATAGCAGCAGGAATAATCTCTTATTTCATATCAACTTAAGGACTAACCAACTTAACTGACAGGATTTGCGTGTGTACTGGAGCTTATGGCTGAGCCTCTGTATATCCTTTCTCAGACATTGATGCTTCTAAAATTGCGACTGGTTGTTGAGACTGTTGCTACATTTTCACGCTGTGTAACTTTGTGCTTTCTCATAGTCAAGCAAACCAACATGGTACGTTGTGTACATAAGTTATTAGTTCTGGAAAAGAAGCATGCTTGAAAAAACTTGTATGATAAAACTAAAATTTAATCATCTTCAACATATGTAGGAAAAAGGGATAATCTTTGCACTTTCACAAGTTGCATATGGAGGTTCCTTATTTCTTGGGTACTGGGCTTATTTTCTCTTGCGTGGTGTTTCTAAAAGCTTGAGTCTCTTTCCTTTCAGGTATGACCTCTTTATTATTTAATCTCTTTAGCCAGCATAATTAGCTGTTGATATGTTCCAAACAAATCATTCATTTCCAATAACGTTACAACATCTTTCGTGATGTTCACAGACCTGGGAGCTTCATGGATTTGGATAAGCAGCTCTCAAACATGTGTATGCTATTTACTTTTCAGTCCTTCCGAAAGTTGATCCTTCAAGAAGGCGAAAAGTTGGTCCTTGTATGGTTAGATACACCTTACAACCAAGCTGTATATGGCATCGTCGACAAACTAGGTAAGCCTCTTTGGTGACAAACACAAATTTTCTACGGATATAATGTATATAATATAGAGATGCTGCTTATAAATATCTTTTACACAATTTCTGACATCCAGGAAGTTTAGTAGTGCGCATGGTGTTTCTCCCTTTTGAAGAAAGTTCATACACTACATTTGCCAGGTTCGCATCAGGTTTATTTCTCTCCTCAGTTTAGTGTAGTACAGTTCTTAAAATGTTTGATGATATTGGTTCGGATATTTATATTCTCAGTTTCTTCAGCTCATTGAAGTAGATGGTGTATGTTTCTCTCTTTCTTGATAGGTGATGATTACCAGCAAAAGAGGAAAAAACTCGGAACTTGCTTGACCGAGGCCTTGAAGCTTGTAATGTTAATAGGTATATTCATATGCATTGCAGTTTTTTTTGTTGCTCAGCTTGTGTAAAGACTCCAATCTTCGGTAATTTCCTACTGGGAATCTACAGGTCTTATATTTATGGCATTTGGCCCGGGGTATTCATACTCTCTGATCAGATTGTTATATGGTGAAAAATGGAGCGATGGAGAAGCTTCCTTGGCGCTACAGTTTTATTGTCTCTACATCATTGTCCTGGCAATGAATGGTTAGTAATCACTTCTCTTCATTTACAGAATGCTTATCTTCTTGATTATGCGGTTACTGGTTGCATTTCCAGTCTTGGTTTACTTTATAAATTATTTTATCAGGAACCTCCGAAGCATTTTTACACGCAATTGGAACAGAGGATCAACTAAAGCGATCAAACGACATGTTACTTGTATTTTCACTGATCTACATCGCGTTAAACATTCTGCTGATAAGATCTGCAGGAGCAATAGGTTTAATCTTGGCGAACTCCTTGAGTATCCTTCACCCATATATATGTAGATTCTGCAATTACATTGAACTTCTTTAGAACTTTTTGGTCTTCTTGACTTTTCCGAAAAGATATGATGTTTAGGATAATCTATTCAGGACGATTCATACAACGTTACTTCCAGGTATGCTTTGGTTATATGAAACCATCTTTTGTGTTGTGCTAACTATGTTCCTTTTGATGTTTGTTCAAACTCCACACTTCTCTACAGGGGGATCCTACTTCATCATTCTCGTTCAGAAAGTGTTTTCCTTCAGGTTGGCAGATTCTTATACTCTCTGGCATAATCACTGTCATCTCGGAGAAAACCATTCTTGACCATAAGAACTTCTGGGCAACGTTTCCTATTCACTTCGCCATCGGTTTCCTCTGCTTTTGTCTCTCAGCCATTGTCATGTAAGTCCTCTCTTAACTGTGACAATCACAAGTTCTATTTCAGAAAAAAACAAACTCAGTGAAATCTTGTGGTGTTTTCTGTGGTAGATACCGGCGTGAAAGAATGTTCATCAATAGAATCATACGGTTCAGGAATCACGATCATGACGACTGAAATAAACCAATAAACCGGTGGTTTATGTTCGGTTAAGACAGTGAAGCTTTTGTACTAGTACTAGATAGGCTTAACTGAAAAAAAAAAACTCTCATAAATGATTTTTAATCCGCAATGAAACCATTTTTGGTCTTTTTTTTGGAAGTTTTATTTTACTTGATGGATCAAAATCAAACAAGAAAAATCAAAATATAAAGAAAATAAACCATGAACCGGTTTTCGGTTCGATTGGACCGGTAAACCAGAGGGAGAATTATATGAAATCCCAAAACATCCGGTAGCTGACGTGTCACCTGGATAAGTGTACACGTGTCTTCCATTTCCCCGCCAATACATTCACCTTCATAAACACTCACTCCTTGTAAGAAACCCTAGAGAAAGCGTTAACGATGGATCGAGAGAGGAGTAATCCTTTCAACAATCAGCGTTCCAGCTCAGGCACGATTCTAAA